TGAAAGCTATAGAAGAAGCTGGAGGTAGCTGTATATAGCAGCTAGCCGGCGTAACAACCATCAATCATTTCTTTGTCGCCGTAATGGTCTATTGAGAGTAAACACAATAATTTTCCTGTCCATGTTATTAAAGGGATGATTGTGTTTCCGGGTCCCTGCTCACTAAATTGCCATTAAATTGTCGATTTTTTTTAATTTGCTCCTAAGGTTTGTTGTTTGGTTTATTTGGTTTAACGTCTCTTGACTACCTAAGAGTTATTACAGTTGTATGTCGGTATAAAATGTGTTTTCTTGACTACGTCTGCTGTAAAAATTATTACACGGATTTTATTTATAAAAATACGACTTCTTCAGAAATCTATTCTTTACTGAATGTTAATAGAACCTGGGTTCAGTAGATGCTACAACGCAGACTACTTAACGCAGTAGAAGTACACGCATGACGACCTGGTTGTATACCCGTACACGCATGACGACCTGGTTGTATACCCGTACACGCATGACGACCTGGTTGTATACCCGTACACGCATGACGACCTGGTTGTATACCCGTACACGCATGACGACCTGGTTGTATACCGTACACGCATGACGACCTGGTTGTATACCCGTACACGCATGACGACCTGGTTGTATACCCGTACACTCATGACGACCTGGTTGTATACCCGTACACGCATGACGACCTGGTTGTATACCCGTACACGCATGACGACCTGGTTGTATACCCGTACACGCATGACGACCTGGTTGTATACCCGTACACGCATGACGACCTGGTTGTATACCCCCTACACGCATGACGACCTGGTTGTATAACCCGTACACGCATGACGACCTGGTTGTACACTCGTACACGCATGACGACGTGGTTGTATACCCGTACACGCATGACGACCTGGTTGTATACCCGTACACGCATGACGACCTGGTTGTATACCCGTACACGCATGACGACCTGGTTGTATACCCGTACACGCATGACGACCTGGTTGTATACCCGTACACGCATGACGACCTGGTTGTATACCCGTACACTCATGACGACCTGGTTGTATACCCGTACACGCATGACGACTGGTTGTATACCCGTACACGCATGACGACCTGGTTGTATACCCGTACACGCATGACGACCTGGTTTATACCCGTACACGCATGACGACCTGGTTGTATACCCGTACACGCATGACGACCTGGTTGTATACCCGTACACGCATGACGACCTGGTTGTACACTCGTACACGCATGACGACGTGGTTGTATACCCGTACACGCATGACGACCTGGTTGTATACCCGTACACGCATGACGAATTGGTTGTACACCTGTACACGCATGACGACCTGGTTGTACACCCGTACACGCATGACGACCTGGTTGTACACTCGTACACGCATGACGACCTGGTTGTATACCCGTACACGCATGACGACTTGTTTTTACACTCGTACACGCATGACAACCTGTCTTCCACCTGGTTGTACACTCGTACACACATGACATCCTGGCTGTACACTCGTACACACATGACATCCTGGCTGTACATTCGTACACACATGACATCCTGGCTGTACACTCGTACATGCATGACATCCTGGTTGTACACTCGTACACGCATGACATCCTTGTTGTACACTCGTACACGCATGACGACCTGGTTGTACACTCGAACATGCATGACCTCCTGGTTGTACACTCGTACACGTATGACATCCTGGTTGTACACTCGTACACGCATGACATCCTGGTTGTACACTCGTAACACGCATGACATCCTGGTTGTACACTCGTACACGCATGACATCCTGGTTGTACACTCGTACACGCATGACATCCTGGTTGTACACTCGTACACGCATGACATCCTGGTTGTACACTCGTACACGCATGACGACCTGGTTGTACACTCGTACACGCATGACATCCTGGTTGTACACTCGTACACGCATGACATCCTGGTTATACACTTGTACACGCATGACATCCTGGTTGTACACTCGTACACGCATGACATCCTGGTTGTACACTCGTACACGCATGACATCCTGGTTGTACACTCGTACACGCATGACATCCTGGTTGTACACTCGTACACGCATGACATCCTGGTTGTACACTCTAATTGAAGCTGCTGCCTTAGGAATTTTTTTTTACTGACCACTTCATTAGGAACAAAAGTCACAATAACATGACTGGAACAATACACAAATAACCCGCACATAGGAGACAGAAGCTTATAACGACGTATAGGTCCGACTTGGACCATTGACTAAGTCACACTAACACACGAAGGTGAGGGAGCCAGTATATATAGGATAGGAGGACAAGGACGAGATAAAGAGAGGAAGAAGAAGAAAGGAAGTGAAGAAATAGTGGTAGAGAAACCACTACTACTTTATCCTCCCTGTTCTTCTCTCCTGCATATACTGGCTCTCTAACCTTCGTGTGTTAGTGTGACTAGTAAATGCTCCAAGTCGGCCCGAAACGTCGTTATAAGCTTCTGCCTCCTATGTGCAGGGTATGTGTGTATCATTCATTAAATTTTGATAGTGCTCTTGCTACCCCTATAACATGCTGTCTTGTTGCATCCCACTGTGGCAAGGCTTGTTGCATCCCACTGTGGCAAGGCTTGTTGCATCCCACTGTGGCAAGGCTTGTTGCATCCCACTGTGGCAAGGCTTGTTGCATCCCACTGTGGCAAGGCTTGTTGCATCTCACTGTGGCAAGGCTTGTTGCATCCCACTGTGGCAAGGCTTGTTGCATCTCACTGTGGCAAGGCTTGTTGCATCCCACTGTGACAAGGCTTGTTGCATCCCACTGTGGCAAGGCTTGTTGTATCCCACTGTGGCAAGGCTTCTTGCATCCCACTGTGACAAGGCTTGTTGCATCCCACTGTGGCAAGGCTTGTTGCATCCCACTGTGGCAAGGCTTGTTGCATCCCACTGTGACAAGGCTTGTTGCATCCCACTGTGGCAAGGCTTGTTGCATCCCACTGTGACAAGGCTTGTTGCATCCCACTGTGGCAAGGCTTGTTGCATCCCACTGTGACAAGGCTTGTTGTATCCCACTGTGGCAAGGCTTGTTGCATCCCACTGAGACAAGGCTTGTTGCATCCCACTGTGGCAAGGCTTGTTGCATCCCACTGTGGCAAGGCTTGTTGCATCCCACTGTGACAAGGCTTGTTGCATCCCACTGTGGCAAGGCTTGTTGCATCCCACTGTGGCAAGGCTTGTTGCATCCCACTGTGGCAAGGCTTGTTGCATCCCACTGTGGCAAGGCTTGTTGCATCCCACTGTGGCAAGGCTTGTTGCATCCCACTGTGACAAGGCTTGTTGCATCCCACTGTGGCAAGGCTTGTTGCATCCCACTGTGGCAAGGCTTGTTGCATCCCACTGTGGCAAGGCTTGTTGCATCCCACTGTGGCAAGGCTTGTTGCATCCCACTGTGGCAACGCTTGTTGCATCCCACTGTGGCAAGGCTTGTTGCATCCCACTGTGACAAGGCTTGTTGCATCCCACTGTGACAAGGCTTGTTGCATCCCACTGTGGCAAGGCTTGTTGCATCCCACTGTGGCAAGGCTTGTTGCATCCCACTGTGGCAAGGCTTGTTGCATCCCACTGTGGCAAGGCTTGTTGCATCCCACTGTGGCAAGGCTTGTTGCATCCCACTGTGACAAGGCTTGTTGCATCCCACTGTGACAAGGCTTGTTGCATCCCACTGTGACAAGGCTTCTTGCATCCCACTGTGACAAGGCTTGTTGCATCCCACTGTGGCAAGGCTTGTTGCATCCCACTGTGACAAGGCTTGTTGCATCCCACTGTGACAAGGCTTGTTGCATCCCACTGTGACAAGGCTTGTTGCATCCCACTGTGGCAAGGCTTGTTGCATCCCACTGTGGCAAGGCTTGTTGCATCCCACTGTGGCAAGGCTTGTTGCATCCCACTCTGGCAAGGCTTGTTGCATCCCACTGTGGCAAGGCTTGTTGCATCCCACTGTGGCAAGGCTTGTTGCATCCCACTGTGGCAAGGCTTGTTGCATCCCACTGTGGCAAGGCTTGTTGCATCCCACTGTGGCAAGGCTTGTTGCATCCCACTGTGACAAGGCTTGTTGCATCCCACTGTGACAAGGCTTGTTGCATCCCACTGTGACAAGGCTTGTTGCATCCCACTGTGGCAAGGCTTGTTGCATCCCACTGTGGCAAGGCTTGTTGCATCCCACTGTGACAAGGCTTGTTGCATCCCACTGTGGCAAGGCTTGTTGCATCCCACTGTGACAAGGCTTGTTGCATCCCACTGTGGCAAGGCTTGTTGCATCCCACTGTGACAAGGCTTGTTGCATCCCACTGTGGCAAGGCTTGTTGCATCCCACTGTGGCAAGGCTTGTTGCATCTCACTGTGGCAAGGCTTGTTGCATCCCACTGTGGCAAGGCTTGTTGCATCCCACTGTGGCAAGGCTTGTTGCATCTCACTGTCGCAAGGCTTGTTGCATCCCACTGTGCCAAGAATTGTTGCATCCCACTGTGACAAGATTTGTTGCATCCCACTGTGGCAAGACTTGTTGCATCCCACTGTGGCAAGGCTTGTTGCATCCCACTGTGGCAAGGCTTGTTGCATCTCACTGTGGCAAGGCTTGTTGCATCCCACTGTGGCAAGGCTTGTTGCATCCCACTGTGGCAAGGCTTGTTGCATCTCACTGTGGCAAGGCTTGTTGCATCCCACTGTGCCAAGAATTGTTGCATCCCACTGTGACAAGATTTGTTGCATCCCACTGTGGCAAGACTTGTTGCATCCCACTGTGGCAAGACTTTCCCCTGTACAAAATATAGTAAGCAGCAGTGGGAATGACTATTACATTCACAATTCTCACCATATCCAATTATATAATTACTTTTATTAGTTAGAATTTTATAATGTGATAAGCAATATTTCCAGTAATTCACGTGTAGCTAAAGGGGGCTCATCACAACTCACGACTAACACATCTCCCTTCCTTTTCAGGTGTGACTTACACATACTTCCTAGCGCTGGCGATCAGTGACTTCCTCTCATTGCTGTTCTGTATCTCAGTCATTCAACATATCCTGACGGGCGGCACTCACCACTATTCTATGGCTGTCTGGTACTCCTACTGGGAGATCTTCTTCACCAACATCCCCATGAGTTCGTCTGTTCTTATCGTCCTGTGTGTGACTATAGACAGGTTCTTCTCTGTGTGTCGGCCAACAGACTTCAAACGAATTCACACGAGTCACTACGCCCGCGCGGGGATCGTTGGTTCAGTTGTTACTTCGGTGGTCGTGTGGCTGCCAACGTGTTTCCTCAAGGAACCTAAACCATACGACGAATGCGAGACATTCATGTTTGAGGCACCAGACAACGGGACGTGGTGGGTAGCTTGTATAAGCTTAGAAATTCGGAAAAATCCCTTTTACATCGCCTACACTTGGTTAAGGCAAACAATTGTAACATTTGTACCGATAATCGTTCTCCTGGCACTGAACACTCTCATTCTTAAGGAATTCGTAAGGATACGTAAGATGAAAGATAAGATGACGAGAAACGAGCCTCTCTCTTTAGATATCTTAGCGGCGGAAGGTCGACGTCGAGAGGAACACCACCTGATCAGCTTGCTGACGGCGGTCATGATATCCTTCTTCATTACCTTAGTGCCTTCTGGAATTTGTAATGCAATATACACCGAAGTCCTTGCTACTCGGCTGACCTTCGAAGTCTTTAGGGCCGTCTCAAATGACTTGGAAATACTAAATCATGCGCTCAACTTCTACATGTATATCTTATGTAGCAAACCTATTCGAGAGGCCATAAAAATTTCCTTCAGTCGCCTAAAGTGTCTATCGCGCAAAGCAAAGGTTTCTTGTGTCGTGGTTGAAGGCCATGGGTCATTCACGAAAGACGCAAAGAAAGCTTGGCCTCAGAACACAGCCGACACCACAGACAGCACCCTCCGTCGTAAGCCAGAAGACTCTTGTGGAGATAAACGGACTCCTAGAGAAAAATCCAAAACCATATCGAGAGATACGCAGCCAAGTGACATTATCTCAGGCAGAGGCTCCAGCTCAGACAATTTCTCTGGAAAATTAAGTTTTTGCACTGATGTGGAACGTTTAGCACCGAAGCCCAGAACCGGGTCGACGGACACTTTATACTCTTGGGGAAGCTCTGTACACGATGACATTAAGACTACAGAATGTGACACAAATGACAAATCGTTTGGCTGTAAAGGTACCCAGCATCGTGCATCTTGTGGGGAGTCTGGAGGTTCTCTGCCCCTAACAGAGAACACTGAAGTGCCCTTCTCCAGTAATGGGCCCCGAGCGCTGGAAAATATGAATTCATTTGCCAACCCGACATTTAGATTTGATGTAGATGGGCGAGGCTGATTCAGTGTTCAGTTGCAGTATATAATTGCGGCAATTAACTTCGACATAAATACGTTTATATTTGCTGGAACTAATATATTTAACTGCAGTAATCATAAAAACAGTGATTAAGAAAATGCTTTGATGTTATCCAGTCAAATATAATGAACAAGGCTTATAAATTATAAGCATATTTCTCCAGTCCAAGTAATAAACATATAGGATATCTAACCAGAATGAACAATGGAGAATAATACTGTACATATGCTTAAATACACGTTGAATAAACATTTTTCTTGAGAGCTTTGACATAAATTGTCTCTACCACCATAAGTCTCCAATTATTCTCACAGGCTTGTCTGGTACAAACGTACATATATGAACATGGAAAGAATACTATAGGAAAATACAAGTATATTTAGGTTGCAGTACGAGGTCAACATCAGCAGAAGCTACGAGGTAGAGAGAGAGAGAGAGAGAAAGAGAGAGAGGTATGCATATCCATAAGAGAATCAGATCCAGTAGCCTAAGGGTGAGCGTGGGAACGTGTAATAACAGATAATACGAGACGGATAACAAGATATCGAGTAGTGAGCTGCTCCTAAGACTGCCTTTAGCGAAGTCCGAGTCGAACTTTTTGTTTTATTTTTAAGAACTCATCACTAGGCGAAGGCTAGGACACTTACTTCTCTTTCTCTTCCTATCTAATCATCACGTGCACTCCTGTATTTTAACCAGAGGATTATTATGTTATTTTGTCATCGTATTTTATGCAACAAATTAAATACAATTAGTGGTGGATTGTTGAACCTCTGTCTGCTACATGATTACCTATCAATACATCTAGAAAGTTTGAGTAAACAGTGAAGAACATACCCGATGAAGTGAGCCGAAGAAAGAACTTGATGTGGTACTCGGTGAAGGGATGCAACTCACTAAAGGGAGTCGATAAAGGGAACCAATGGTGAGCAGATGTTTTACTCGGTGAAGGAGCGCAGTGAAGTAACCAGTGAAGGAACCTGATGTGCTATCCCATGAAAGGAAACAGATGCTGCGCAAATAACACTGCCCAACAAATGTTCCAATTCACATATAAAAGCGTGTATTTCTAACTAATTTTGGGACCCTGAATTCCAGTCTGAACTTAATTTTGTTCCGAACGTACAGTTTTTGTGAATTAGAACCCCACGGTGAACGATTTTACTATCATGAAGAAGAGACACCAAGGGAAAAACTGATATATATATATATATATAATATATATATATATATATATAATATATATATATTATATATATATATATATGTGTGTGTGTGTGTGTGGTGTGTGTGTGTGTGTGTGTGTGTGTGTGTGTGGTGTGTGTGTGTGTGTGTGTGTGTGTGTGTGTGTGTGTGTGTGTGTGTGTGTGTGCGCGCGCGTGCTTTTGTTCAGTTATTTATAATATATATTTATCTAAACTTTATAAAATGTTCAAAACGTATTAACAATAAAGTGAACATGACCTGATATTGTTACACCAATAATTTGTTTTGAAGGAAGATAAACCATATAGACTATTGATATATTTTTCTTTATTTACTGATGCTTTTTATAATTATCTAAGGTTATCTGTGCTCATATACTTTTATAAGTATAAAGAGTTTGCTTTATTTCTTTTGGACTAATTTGTTAAGCTTAGCGTAGTCGCTAAACATCCATTTATTTTTAATCTCCGGAAATTAGACCTTAACATCGTCGAAATGTTTTCGAGAGAATATATCTTAAATTTAATATTGACAGAATAAACATATTTAGACTATTTTTTTTTCCTCTTATTGCTAAGCCCTGAGATGCTTATATAATACTGGAATATTTTAAGTCAAACTCACACTCTCTGGTTATGTTTATGAGAAAGAGGAATAATTCTGAAAGTCAGATATGAAATATAAACTTGATATGAAATTACAGAGAAGTGAAAATCTCACCTAGTTTTTTCTAGTAAGTAAGTAGACCGTTTTGCCGGGAGGCCTAGGTGCAGTACCCTCTCTGAGGCCATGGTGCAGTACCCTCTCTGAGGCCATGGTGCAGTACCCTCTCTGAGGCCACGGTGCAGTACCCTCTCTGAGGCCATGGTGCAGTACCCTTTCTGAGGCCACAGTGCAGCACCCTCTCTGAGGCCATGGTGCAGTACCCTCTCTGAGGCCTAGGTGCAGTACCCTCTCTGAGGCCACGGTGCAGTACCCTCTCTGAGGCCTAGGTGCAGCACCCTCTCTGAGGCCACGGTGCAGCACCCTCTCTGAGGCCACGGTGCAGCACCCTCTCTGAGGCCACGGTGCAGCACCCTCTCTGAGGCCACGGAGCAGTACCCTCTCTGATCCCATTAGTATGCTTAGAGATCCCATTAGTGTACTTTGAGATAACACAGATGTAAGGGGACCTAGACTCTCCAACAACCTCCCATCGTATATAAGGAGGATTACGAACAGATCCCTTGCTGTCTTCTTGAGGAACTTGATTACTAAAGTCAGTTGCCGAACAACCGGTCTATGGCTCGTATGTAGGACTTCGGGGGACCAGCGGCAACAGCCTGATTGATCGGGCTTGCAGGGGCGTTGACCCCTGGAAACATTCTTCAGGTATTCAATGCCTGCTGCTGAATAGTGTACGTAGTTTAATATTATAAACAATGGGAAGCGCTAAACCATAAGAGTCATAGAACAACCATGGAATAGAGGTAATCAGGTTTAATTCGAGAGTAGCTCCAATTCTTTCGATCAATAACCTGTCAACAGTAGCAGAAAAAGTCTGCTTTAATAAAAAAAATAATCAAAGGGGAAACAATCAATAAACACTGCCTCACCTCACTAGAGGAAAGCATTACAATCATCCCCAGTGGGACTCGAACCCACGACCTCTGGATTAGAAGTCCAGCGCGCTTTCCACTGCGCCATGGGGACTCCTGGCTGTTGTTGATTTAATTAGTTAGTTGCAACGCGACAGTCTCTGCAACAGACTAGCATTTTTTGTGTCACTCGTTTGCGACATTATAATTTGATCAGTGATTTATAACGGTAATGTTTATGCGGAGTTGTTGGCCGCTGCTAAGCTCTTATTTTGCAAATTTAGACTGGATTTGCTTTCTACACGTGGATCATTTTCCTTCTGCTTGGAAGGCAACGTTCTCGCTTCACGCACTGAGTTCCCGTGGTTCGATCACCGGCAAGGGTGGAAACACTGGCCGTGTTTCCTTACACCTGTAGTCCCCCGTTCTCCTAGCAAGCAATTAGGTACCCTAGTGTTAGTCGACTGGTGTGGATGGCATCCTGGGGGACAAGATTTAAGGACCACAATGGAAATAAGACAGTCCCTCGATGACGTACTGACTTTCTTTGGTTATCCTGGGTGACTAACCCTCCGGGGTTAAAAATCCGAACAAAATCTTACCTTATCTTATCCTAGATATGTATACAAGGTGGTAACCGTCTCTCTAGTACGGTCTCACTACTTTTCCAGTGTCCAGGGGCTTAAGGCGATATACCTCTTCCTGTCTGTCTGTCACTTCCCACAACTTTGACAGGTGTTGCAGCTAGCCACGGAGTTTGACGGCTTCTTTCTGGGACTTGCATCTTAGTAGCGAAACTCGTGTATAAGTTGGTCAGCATCTTCCTGAAAGATGACAATGGCAGTCCCCATCCTGCCGGTATAAAGATGTTGGTTTTCTTTGTATCTCTTTTATTTTTGTACTGAGCCTCACTACAGCAGGAGTAAACCCAGTACTGCTAACGAGGGAGGCAGATGACCTGACGATACGAGGGAAGATGAGTGGTTGCTTTCCCTCGAGCAAGGTGTATTATCAAGCAGCAGCAAGCTTTGAGTGAGGGACTGGTGCTACATACTCCAATAAGAGCCTCTCTCTCTCTCTCTCTCTCTCTCTCTCTCTCTCTCTCTCTCCTCTCTCTCTCTCTCTCTCTCTCTCTCTCTCTCTAAATCCTAATGGACCAAAAATTTCCCCAAACACCGGAAAATGCTCACATAATTCACGAAACGAAAACTTTGCACTTTGCATCGTCACTTTATTGCTGAGAGAATGGATCACAATAAAAGGATGGGGAGGAGGGAAAGGGGAATGCTGGAAAGGAAGGGGCTTTGCAAAAGGGTTGTGCAAGAGAAGGGGGCTGAGCTGGGGTGAGGCTGTGCAAAGGAAGATTGTTCAGACAAGGGGTGGTGTGTGTGTGTGTGTTCTAAGAGGAGCAGGAGTAGGACCCTCATCTAGTCAGAGGAAGAAAAGGAAAAAAGGTACCTCCAATATCTTGGATCGAGAGACCTTCACCAGTAGAAAAGTACCCCTGAGAGCAGCAGTGTGCTACTCCAAGTCCCTGTATAATAGTTACACAGTAGGAACACTCACAGTGTGCTGCTGTGGTACATGAGAGCTCAGGGTGGGAACATAAGCTGTTTCTCTGTTATATTCCATCACAGAGGATAGTTTATTTACCAGAGAAAATGCGATCAGTTAGCATGAGCTGGGAGATTTTGTTAAGGAGATGAAGCTATTATCAGTTATTCCACTATGGGTTCAATAACTACCGGATATTCCAAGCTTTCGTTCTGGCAGAGCTGGACTTGCTGTTAGTGTTGCCATGAAGCACTAAACCCGTGCATGTCACTTCGCCCAGGAAATGGTGCAGGCTCCATCCTCCGTCTACTAATCACTGCCCGGGTAGAGGGGAAGAGAAGGGAAGGCAGTGAGGGGAGGAGTGTTAGATAGGTTTGGGTATGTATGAGGGAGAGGAGGGGTGAGGGGTGTCACTATGGTCCACATTTTCATTCTTGGGATGATTTCTCCCCTTATTGATATAAGTCAAAACTTTTTTCGTAAGGGAGGGCACTTTTGCGGTCTAATAACTCACAACTAACGCAGACGCAAACGTTGTAGCAACAACACAGTCATTATATATTTTCTTTAGGTTTATTGCACAGTGGCAAAGGGAGTGCAAAAGCGAATTATGTTACGTTCCGTGTGGGATAAACTCGTGTAAATGTGTGCGTGAATGTTTTCCTCGGCGTGAGTACGTCAGGCGAATGAATCAAAACATTTTCAAAATGGAAGTGAAGAGAGGTTCTCTGCTCACTAGAACAACACTTGAGTAGAACTCAGCACTCCTGCTGATGAGCTTTCAGTGGAACTGTGCTCCTGCAGCTGACCCTAGCAAGGCTCGATAGCCCTTTAGATGATCCTAGCAGAGCTCTCCACTGTTCTTGACGACCTTAGCAAAGCTCTGCACTCGTGCAGATGACCTTAGCAAAGCTCTCCACTACATAGCAGACGACCTTAGGAATAAAGCTTATAAGTGTAGGCTGAACCTGGAGGGTAAAACTTTTCCACTTTACGCAGACAGGTCAGCGAAGAAGGAAAAATGTGCATGATATATGTCGCTAGTGTGAGATGTTGGAGGACTCTGTTGTTTGCTGGTGGGAGAGTGAGGCAGGAAGAGAGAGAGAGAGAGAGAGAGAGAGAGAGAGAGAGAGAGAGAGAGAGAGAGAGAGAGAGAGAGAGAGAGAGAGAGAGAGAGAGAGAGAGAGAGAGAGAGAGAGAGAGAGAGAAAGAGAGAGTTGAAAGTGCCTGAGTAAAACGGCATGTGTGTAATGGATGGTGATATCTTTCCCCGAGTCACGCTAAATGACTCGACTTGAGCTGTGCTAGTCTGAGGTCGCTGGTCAAACTGTGTTGACCACAGACAGTATAGAAGGAGGCCAGACACACGTCTCTCTCTCTCCCTCTTCCCTCCTACACATCTCTACATTCTCCCTTCCTTCATTTTACCCTCGATACCTCTGTCCTCCATTCCTTATTCCTGCTACCCAAAATCTTTATACCCTCCTCTTCCTCCTCCCTCCATACTCCTTCCCTCCCATCCATCTTTTTTTCATCCTTCTCTCCTTATTACCTTTTTCCGTCGTCCCTCAGCCATCCGTATACACTCCCCCCCCTCTCTACTTCTCTCTTTATACCCTTCATCTCTTCTCTCTCTCTCTCTTTCTCTACACACACACACACACACACACACACACACACACACACACACACACACACACACACACACATACACACACACACACACACACACACACACACACACACACATATATATATATATATATATATATATATATATATATATATATATATATATATATATATATATATATATTATATCGTGCCGATTAGGCAAAACTGGTCAATTA